AGGGTACCAAAAATTTCTTGCTTTTTCTCCGCTGAGCTGCTGCTCTCCTGGCTCCAGTTGCGGTTGTTTTGGGCTTCTTTGCTTTCTGCTCCCCTTCCTCCATCACCACTGCCACAGCTCAAGAGAGCCATGAGTCAGAAAAGTTTGGGAACCCCTGTCCTAACTGACTCAAAATCGCTCAGCAACAGCAGGTGCTGATATACAACTTCTGCTGCACTCAAAATCCCTGAATTCCAGAGTCCTTGACCTGAAGAGTCAGGGATAATGTCTTGTATGATACTCTTCTGAGTTGCAAGTACAGCTCTTGCCTAAAATTTCAGGGATAATGTCTTGTATGAAAGGACATCTCAGCTGTAGGTGCTCCCCTTATATCAATCAATTAATCCGGGATACTCTTGTGAGTTGCAAGTACAGCTCTTGCCTAAAATTCTCAGTTCCTTTCTGGAACAGCTTCTAGAACACTGGGTGAATTCCCTGATGTGCAGTTATGTGCAACCTGTTTCGAATGGCTTTGCAATCTCATCAGGTTCATAGTCTGGGAATGCTCCTTGATCTGGATTGTCATGTCCGCAGTACTAGTCACTCCTGACTAGTCACACCTGACTCGAATACCATCTTTTTCTAGCATTGTGTGGTTCACAAAGAATTATGGCCGCTTCTGGAAGACTGTTTCTTACCACAGTTATACATGCTGTCATGGTTTCCCAGTCACGACTCCTTCTCTATAGCCCCTCAGAACCACTATTATTGCTTTTCCTGGGGGTAGAATAGGTTACAAAAGGGGTTTTCAAAATGCAGGAGCAAATGCAGAGACAAACTTAAAGGCATTAAAGAGGAACACACCAGAAAATATTAAATGCTAACCTACTCTATCTAATACTTGCACCTCAACAGAGAGTTCTTTGACATGCACAGAGTGCATCCTCCCAGCATGTCTTCATAGAAGAAAAAACAAACCCCGTCTCCTCTTTAGAGGCAGGCTAAGCTCCTTCTCAGCATTGCAGAACAGTAGGTGAGCACTTTCTCCTCAGAGACATGCTAGGCTAACTAACCAATGTTCTTTTATACATGTAAATAGGCCATTTTCACACCTGTCACCAACAACATCTTAACACCCTTTCATGCTTTGTCAGGGCAAAAGGCATCTTCCTGATCTGCTCCCTTTCCAACAGCCAAAATCAGCATAACCTTTTGAGGAAGGAAGCAGGGTGGATCCTTTCAATTCAGAGGTTACCATCACAACATCAGATTCTTTTGGGGGGGGCTGCTTTGAAATGCCCTCTGATCAAAGAGAGGCATGGAATCATCAGTTCTTCTCTCAGTCCTTTCTTTGAAGTGTTTAGGGACCAGAGGTAAGTCGAAGGTGTGAATTGTCCTTCTATATGCTGATCTCTGCCTTTTTGGTCAGCTTTGCAGGCACTTGAAACAGAAGCATCATATACAGAGCTGTCCTTGAAAGGTGCCTGGAAATTGGTTGCTGCTGGGAGTTAGGCAGTTACCTTAAGGGCTATCTTTCCCATCTTAAAACACAAATGGTCCATTCATCATCTGAAGCACTCTTTCAGGTCCCCTCAGTCTTGTGGCATTGGGGGGGCTTCACTCACTGTACTATTTCAGTCTCAAAGGGTGTTTGGTTGAAAGTCTTAGTAGCTCTTCAGCAAATTCTAACTCTGATTGTTAACTGCCATTTGGTTTGTTTTAAAATTCTGTTTTAAATATTGTTTACTGCCTTGAGGGAAGCAGGCAAGAAACAGGATTTTGAAATAAATAAACAGCAGCAATCTGTTCCTAGCAAGAAGAACAATCAGGGAGCAGGTGGACATGCTGTCTGTATGAATACATGTTTTGGGATTGCATTTTCCCACTTTATTCCTTTCTTGATTCAAAGAGATGTAGCTAACAGTAAAAAAAAAATGTGTGAGGCAGCAAATGAATTATGAACAAAGAATGAAATAATCTTCCCCACATATGTGCAGGTACTTAATTATTTAAAATTGCTAATGAGGTGGGGAAAAACGACTCTCTACATTTTCTATTTAAGCCAATTTAACAAGCCAGAGTTGCACATTCAAGCCACAAATACAGTTTTGCAAATGGGAATAAGACATAGTGGGCAAATGCCTCATCCACAATTTTAAATGTCCACTGAATCTTAAAAGATTTTAAGGCCAGAACAAATTATCTAATTATCTAGCCTTCCTTCTGCGTTTCCCCTTAAGTAGAAAGCTCACGCAGGGACAGAAAATCTGTGTCAATTAAAGAGAATTATTTAGCATACAAGAGCTGATGCTCATCTGATGCACTAATAAATTTGTTTCTTTTTAAGTTTCTGTTTGCTTTTTCCCCTCCTCTAAATATAACTAAGATTGGAAGATCTCATATTTCTAGGATATAGTCATTGCTAAGAAAATAAAATAGCACCATCCTGTGTTTAGAGTCATATGCATTACGAGGGGCAAACAGATTATGACACCCTCTGACATCTATATACAACATTGCCTACATATTGTACCTGCCACAAATTTAACTACAGACATTTCACAGTCCTTGAGATCACCCCTTCCTTCCTATTGTTCCTTTGTTAGCTGCCTTTCTTTCCCCCTCTGATTTCTGCTCTCAGAAGACAGACATGTAGAGATGTAGCTTAACATAATACAAAAGGAAAGAACAGAAAGATATATTATAAATAAGAATTTTTCCCCTTTAACCAAAAGGCATCCAGACATATTGTTTTTCCTTTTCCAACATAAGTGATGAGATTATGGAGATCTCTCCATGCTTTACTCTGCACCAAAAAGGAATCACCTAATTATTTCAACACTTGTTGTCCTCCAGATCTTAAAGGACTCTTAACTCCTGGCAAACACAGTCAGCCTGATGAATGTTCGATGATGAAAGTTGTAGTCCAACACATAGAGAGGGGCATTGTTCTCCACCTTCTTTCATAGGAATGACCTACACCTCTGCAACTCTGTTTCATCAAAATATAACAAGCTAACCATGTCCAGTTGTCAGATGCCTCTGAATGCTCAAATAAAGAAACGAAGTTGAATTTTCCCTTTTAGTTCACATGCCTTGATATTGAAAGGAAGACCTTTGAGGTTTTGTTTAGTCCTCTTTCCTAAAAATTTCTTCCCATGTATCCATCTAGTTGTTTGTGAAGCTGTCTAACAAAGCTAGAAACAGTCACCATATTTTAAAAAAAAAATTCTACAAATCTCAAATTAATCATGGTAGAATGAAGTGTTTTCCTTTCTCTTTCTAGAACTCTCCAACACTTTCACTTAAATTGGCTTGCCCAGCTGCACAGTAGATTGTATTAAGCAATGAATCTACTTCACACAATTCATAATTATTGGATCCTACAGACAAGGCACTTGAACAAAGTTTTATGTGGAATGTGAGATTACAGATGCATAACGATGATTGTGTGATACAACTTATCCTTTAAAAGTATTCATGGTATACACTGTTATAAAACAAGTTGCAACTTGTCAAAAAAACAGACACATCTGTTCTGGAACTTGTATATAAAGATAATTAGAATTGTTTGGATCCATTATTGAGAAAGGAATGAATTGTTAATACATGATGGTTATATATGAGTAACAATTAGTTTGAGAGGAACCAACAGTGCAAATTCAGGAAATTTTATTTGTCTTTATGGCTGTAATTCTGAATGGATCTACCTGTACTTTCAGCAAGTTGTAGCTTGTTTTATAACAATATGTACCATGAATACATTTTGAACACTCATAATCCACAGCTGATGGAAGCTGTTGTGTAAAACATGTGAGGGCAATTGGTCACCTTGGCCTGCAGTAAGCCCTGGACACTATGGCAGCACACTTAGAGAGTTAAAGAGAGGCACTCGTTGGCTTCTGCTACTGGCCAAGGGACCAAGGGCAACTGGAAGGCCTGTGTTATCACATGGCCAGCTCGAGATCAACACACAGATAAGGGACAGCTGAAAAAATAATGTTTCTTTAACAAATAAGTTCAGAAGACATGTCTGAGCTTGCTTTTGTTTTGAGCTTTGGTGGCTGTAAGCTTGAGGGCAGGGACCATCTTATTACCAAACTTTTAAATAGGTATTGGCAAGTTTCTGCTCAAGAACAAAGTATATAAAAAAAAACTTCAAGTAGATGAATGTGATTAATGCCAAGAAGTGCATTGGTTGAGAGGTTACAACCTAGGTGGTGTGAGACTGGACAAATGTCCCCTATAAAATGATCTTGCCTAGCCTTCCCCATCAGTTGTCAGGCATTGATGTCAGACTACAATATCAAGCCATGATGTTTCTCTCAGTTGTTAGGTGGAACCCAAATGTTCTGGTTTATCAGCAGAAGATCCATTCCTCTGCTGATAAATGTCATGGTAGTTCCTGGCAGTCAAGACAACTTTTTCCAGGCGAATTCTGAACAGAACTAAGAAATCAATGCAAACTTCCTGAAAAGCCCTTTGGTAAATCTTTACTTAGAAAAAAAAAGTATGAAAGTGAGTAAGGATGAGTCTGAAGTGGAACAGAAGCTTATAATTAACAGTAGCCGTATTCTCTGCTAATGTGCAATTCAATTGTAGTCTCTAGCAGTTGCTAAAATCCTTCATTTGCTTATACAGGTCGTCAACAGGACATACTACTAGTTCCTTATTTTCCTTGTTTATTCCTGATTCTACAACATATTCCTTTAGGACACGGACCGGTCCTCTTGGCAAAACACGATGGGCACACACCCCAGGAGGGACCTGCAACAAAATGTTGCAGTGCTTCCTTACCTAGTAACAGGAGTGCTTCTTGTCCGTCAGCCAGCAATTCCCCCCCCCCTTTTCCAGTTTCCTTCTCCTCTCCTCCGCCCCCCCTCTACTAAATCTGGTCACCGAGCATGCTCCGTTTGCCCGTGCCTCTGGCGGGAGCGGGGCCTTTCGCTTTTTTTAAAGAGCTAGTCCGGCTGGTGTCTCAGAGCCCGGCGCTGGCCTCAGTCCTCCTCACAGACACTCACCCGGGTGATTCGGGTTGCAACCCAAGTGCTTGGGCAGGGTTCTTCCTAGGGAAAGCCGCCTTCGGAGGCCCCTTTCCTCCCCAGTCCGCTCGGTTGTTCCGCGGTGGCCCCTGAGCCCAGGGCGCCCCTTCCCCACCCTCAGGGAGCCCGGACAATGACGGGGCAGCCGCTGCTCTGGGACCGGGTGGTTTCCCCCCCACTCGCCCCTCCGCCGCCCTTGTGCGCGCCTGCGCCTTGGCCGTCGCGGACTCCCGCTCCCCACCCCGCGCCACCGCTTCCCCTTTCAGCCATTTTCCCCGAGAGCGACGGCGGCGGAGGGGGAAGCGGGCGGGAAGAGTGGGGGGGAGAGAGAGAGAGCCTTCGCGCTGCGTCTTGCAAGGCGGGTATCCAATAGGAATGCACTGAAATTTAATTAATGCATTCCTATGGGGGGAAAAGCCAGAAACCAAAAAAAAGTCAGAAAAAAGTCACCAGGTATAGTAGACCTAGCCCTGCTCCTAACAGTGCCTTGGTAGCCCCGGATCCCTTGGCCATCCCCTAGTTGGCCAGAGACCCGCGCTTCAACTTGGCCCAAGTTAGGGACTTGGCTCTTGGAAGCCCTCCCGCCTGGGGCAGCCGCTCCTGCGCCCCCCCTCCAGCCCGTGGGCCTTTGGGCTTCCCGCCCCCTCCCCTCATCCGCCGCCACCTGAGGGGCCAGGAGGCAGACGACAGGAGTCTTTTCCTCCT